TGATAAATAGATAAAGATACCAGGAGACAAAAGGCTCGAATGGGTTCACATCTGTGTCCGCCAGCCTTCAAAAAGCAAGCGTGGAATCTCATTAGACATCCGTCAGCTGGGGCCGATTAATTCTGCAAAGCTGAGAATGGTGGGAAGGGTTGAGAGTTGAGGGTTGAGGGTCTAAAACGCCTGAAACTGGACACAGGGGCTCCCCACGCTGCTTTTTCCTCGTCTTTGGGCTCCCTCATCTTTTGCATCTTCCTCAACGCAAAGCTCACATCAGCTGAGGTCAACTTCCTCAAACCCTTTCCAAATGTAGCAGCTAATCATTGGGCCAACCACAGAACCTAAATATAGTGAAAAAGGCCAAGGATTAATACCTCTTATTCAAGACCTGACTATTGCAAGGGTGGGGCTCTCCCCAAAATCAGGAGCCTGACAACGCAAAGACAAAGGGACAAAACAAATGACATCCGCACGCCAACTGGCCCTGAGGATTGCGCTCGCGTGCTTGTGTTGGGACTGACTGGATCTTCTTCGACATGCTGTTGATCTTCTCCAACCATTTGTCAGCTTTTCCTGCAAATCTGCCAGTCAAACGGTTTGCTGCTCTTGTCGAAAGGTCTAGGCAAACAAACCACTCAAACCCCACAACCAAAACACGGTCAGCATCACAATAGAGGCATGCACGCTGCATCATGTTTTGTTTGTGTAGCTAGCGGCTAAGACTAAGACCTTCAATTAGCTGAGCAAAGGCCAAAAGAGGTGTTGATACATCCAAGTTGCCATAATCTGAACAGAAACCTTGTTTTTCTCTGCTCAGCGTGCTTTTGCGCTATGCAGCTCTTCAGCCCTCTGGTACATGGTCATTTGGTAGACAATCATGACCTCTTTAGTGTCTCAAAAGTCGGACTTGTAAAACTCCACACATCCAGAATGTGCAAGCTCATCCAAAGAAAACACTTACTGAACCAGTGCAAACAATCCAATCCCGGATTGGCACCTTTCTCTCCATCTTCATCGAAGGAGAACTGCCCACGCCGCCGAATTCACACTACATCTGTTCACCGGACCGTGACTGAGATGGAAGCATGCTTAGTTGTTGAACACAAGAACTTCAAAGCCACGGCTGAATGTCTTCTTGTGATGAATTTGAAGGTAGCTCTAGGATCGCCATCCAGATTCAATGGCCAAATAAGCAATATTATCCTTCCAAAGCGCGTGTTTGAGAGGCACTTTCACCTAAACGCATCATCATTGACCTCTCCCTTTTATGCTTTGCTTCAGGTTTCTACCATGATGAGCTACAGGTGAATAGAGCGCTTGGCATGTGCCTCTTTTTCACGTTCTCCTTTTGCAGCTTTCTTCAAGTCAGTGAGGAATTGCATCCTTCGCCTACCTCAGGTGGACGGACCAAATATTCTCACGGCTGAGCCACTTCGAACATGCACTCGTTTTGATACCCATATACACCATAATTACATACAATTACACCACTCTGTGGATCTTTTTAGAACATGGAAAGCAACTTCTTTCGCACCCAAAGATCCAAAAACCAGTAAGCGAATGAAGTTGTCTCAGGTAAAGTCATTCAGTGGTCTGGAAGCTGAAACACCGTGTGTTACATGTCACAAATTCACGCTTTTAGAGGTTCCCAAACCCTTGCAATGAATTAAACAGTTTCTGTGCTAATGAAATGTATGTGTGTATACTGTACATGTACGTATAGTCTATAATCTAAATACATATGTCATGAACACATTCTTGGAGGCTTAGATTAGATGATCCTTCCAGTTCCTTCTGGTTCACAGCCACTCCAAGGTTGCTTCCAGCATTCTCCGGTTCTACAAACTGACTTGAAATCCCCCTGCCCGCTGTGTCATGGGCAATTGGTTGCCAGTTTTGGCACCGAATTATTTCGACTCGGCAGCTCCAATAAGATTCTCCTCCTGGATCTCTTGGAGAAACCTGACCGGTACGTCCACTCCCCTTTGAGCCGCAAATTGTTGATACTCAAAGGTGCGCTGCAACTCGTCCACGGGTTCTATTCGGTACTCCGGATACGTTTCGCAGGTGCACACTGCATGCGAGGAAAACTGCGACTCTCTTGCATCCAAGTGGCCTGCCTCGCACGCGAGGTAGGAAACTGAGAGGTTGGAGTTCCGACATTCAATTATTCTCTACAGATCAAAATGTTTGCCTCGAACTGAATGCGAATTTTTTTTGTTGATCAAGCAATTGTGATCAATTGTATGACTGTATGACCTGTCCGTCTACTTCCATGGTGCTCTCTTCGGACCCAAGATCGCTGCCCCTGAGGTGCTGCGTTGGATCTGTCACTTATAGCTGCCACAATTGAACCAGGTCAGTGGAACAGGCACAGTTTTGACTGGATGGTGAACCACGCAGTAACAACAAAAGCCCTCGCCCCCAAGAAAAAACTCAGCCATATGCTTCAAGCTGCATGACACACACACACACGCTAGTCACAGGGTTTGCAGTTTCCATAACCCACAGTGAAATGGATGAGGGAACGGAAAGGCGCAAAGTCGGCTAAACTGAAATGTTGACCAGTGTTGAGGCGTTAGCACTTTACTGAATACTTAGCAGATAAAAAGGGGAAGGTTTAGGGGAATAGCATGAGAACCACCATGAGAAGCAAACCGAAAGGAGAACAGCTTGTGCAACGGTTCAGCAGGTACGTTTGCAGCCCTCCCAGTGTCCTCTTCGATGACCATCCGCCACTGGGGAGGGGGATGGCCCCCTGCGTTGTCTGAGAAAGAACACAGAAAAACTGGGAAAGACTCCTAGAGACGGAGGGTGACACACACACAACCCGGCGATTTTCGGCGCTGGCAGCAAAACGAGGTTTTTTAAAAAGCGTTTGCACTCTGCTGTGGAGTGCTTTTTGGCAATGAAGCTGACTAGGTACTTAAAAAGCCTCAGAAGAGAATGAAAGAAAGACAGAAAGAGCAAAACGGAAAGGGCAAGAAAGAAACTTGATTGAAAAGAAGAACCTCACTACAGACCTAAAAACCCTCTAGCAGAAAGGAAAGAGAAACGAACAGGCAAGAGAGAAAGAAGTAAACTTTAAACAAAGCCCGAGGGGCAGGGAAACGAGCCTCAAGAACCACCTAACGAGCCTGAAAGAAACCTAGAAAACGAAGAAAGCGTAAGAGAGAAAGAGTGGGGGGGGCAGGGAGGGTGTGTGTGTTTGTGTACATGTGTGTCTAGTTACTGAATACTTAGCAGCCGTTACTTACGCGCAATAGTGAGGGAGCGGGACTTTTGTCTTAGACCGCCCGGGTAGAGTAGACTAGAACAGGGACAACAGAAGGAAAGGCACCGACACACAAGTGTGTCGAGTACCATTTCCTTCTGTTACTCTAATGAGAGGGGAGGGGGCGGGGGTGGGGGGTTCATTCTCCGTAAGCCCGGCGGCATTTA